AAACATGGGAAGAATCTGAGGAACATGAGGAATTTTTGGACTGCTGATTTTTCTCAGTTATTTGTAGGCAATAAATTTGCATCTGGAGCACACAGTAGGATTTATAGAGGGATTTATAAGCAAAGAGCAGTTGCTGTGAAAATGATAAGAGTTCCAACTCAAAAAGAAGAGACTAAAGCTTTGCTCGAACGTCAATTCAAGTCTAAAGTTGCCCTTCTTTCACATTTATATCATCCCAAGCTTGAAATAAATGGGTTGCTACATTCAAAGAACAATCTCAAAGAAGAGAAAAAAAAAATATTGTAGAATTTTTAAAATGTACAAGACTGCATTTTGAGCTATCCTTGTACTTCTTCTAATTAGTTTGTTGTTCTAATCATGTTTGTTGGTGACATGTAGCATGCAGTACATAGGGGAATGGAGTTGATGTGAATAGTAGGCAGTTTGGTGGTGTAATGTTGAATTGTAATGCAGTTTGGTGCAATGTTGAAGTTCTGTTGAAATTGTAATGCAGTTTTGGTGCAATGTTGAAGTTGAAGTTCTGTACATGCTTGTGTTCTAAGTTTCATTTGTTGGTAATTATAGTTTGTTGCATTTGATGGGTTGTTCTTTTGACAAATGTTAAGTACCTAATGAAGTTTAAATTGCTGACAAATGATATAACTAAAGGCTTCTGATTGATATAAATCAAATACACTAGTATAGCAACAAAGTTAACACATTCGATAAGGTAATATTTGGATAATTTCCACAACACAAATGTTCACTTCAACAAAAATTCAAAAATTGTAGTCAATAAGCATCGAGTTGCATACACATTTCCCTAAAATTGTTTAATCCATAGCTACCCACATTGGCACAAAAAATTGAAGTGGTTATTATAGTTGCCTTCATTGGCACAAAAGCTACAAAAGATGTTTAAACTAAATGTTTTTGGTTCGAGGTTGCCTACAATTCTACGAATTGCAAGAAGTAGATGTAATCGTGTTTGTGCATTGTCGAGCATAAACTCTAGTGGCCCGTAATTGTGGGGACTCATCAGCGTCTATTTCTTTTAGCATATCAACCATTTCCTCCAAGGTTTTTGTCGGTCCCTCAATCCGTCTTTCATTTCCAACAGTTGGTAGTGTATTTGGATCGCCAGTGAAAGGTGTTAGGCTTCTCGAGGGATAGTTGGTCTGCTTGCAACCAATTTTCCCTATTCTAGAATGCAGCAAAGCATATGAACTCCAAAATCATATTATTAAACAGAAAATAATGTAAACCAGCAACTAAGTGGAAAAATAATCGATATATTGTTCTTACACTTGCAAGTACTCCCCTAGTTCGTTGGGATTCAACTTCTGCCAACGGAGCATCAAACATATCCTACAACAATAACTGGAAAACATCAATCACAAATCATACAATTCAAAGCTGCTTGTAATATGAAATCACGTACATCTAATACATGTGGCATAGAATGACGTCTCTTGTTGTGTCCACGCACACCACAGCTAGAACATGTCATTGTCACTTGTCCCTTTTTCCTGACATACGATCTCCTTATTGCATGCACCACGACTTCCTCTTCCCGCTTTCTTCTTTTAGTTTGTGTCCACCCTTTACTTGGAATTGTCCAACTCGGCGGCTTAATCGGTTCCGCATCGATCTCATCCCACATGCGACGATCATTGATAGGGTTCAAAATGTTTATATAGCAATTTAAGTACGACTCGTTAGTATAACAATTGTCGACATATTCTTCAGAGTCATTTCTATAATGTCGTATGACTGCCATAAAGTGCAGATAAGGTATCCCCGTCAATTCCCAACGTCTGCAAGTACAACTTCTTTCCTTAAGATCAGCCACATATGTATGGTAACTGCAATCCACCTGCTACTTAGGACCACCTGAAAATTATACTATACAATCTTTTGATCTCTCAACAATGGAATGCATTCTTCTACAGATCTTAGGGCAAAGTCGACCTTCATAACAACTCATTTTATCTCGCCTTATCTGAATTCGCTTCATGAAAGTTAACTGCATGGATGTCAGCATGTCCAAAATCATTTTCTCTCGATCTTCTAAAAGAGTCTTGTTGAAAACCTCACAGCCATTGTTCAACAAGATGTCACATTTTGAATGCACTTCAAAGTGTGATTTGCTCCATTCACAGCGTGGTCTTTCCATCAACCACTTGAAAGCATCTTAGCTCACACTTTGTATTTGTTGCATCCAGTGTTTGTAGTCTGAAAATGTAGTAGACTTTGTAGGACGCCAAAGATAGTCCTTCAATGTTTTCCCTTTAACGTCGACATTGAAAAACTCATGAACCACCGCCAAGCTAAAGTGTTCTCTTTTTGAACTATGGCATATAGATGGGAAATATGCAATCAATCGCATCATGCCCAACAGCAGTCGACAGTATTCCATTAAAACATCCACACAAATGGCAGTCATCCACTCCGATAACCTTTTGACAACCATTGACAAAACCCTTCTTACACGCTTCAAAATAGACATAGATGCCCTGGAAAACTTGATTATGTTGGCAATGATGACGGTTGAACCCGGGTTAGTCCTTAAAACCTCCGCAG